AGCTGGCCTTGAATTCACTAAGCTATGTAGCACAAGCTGGGCTCAAGCTTTTCAATCCTCCTGCCTCAGTCTCCTGAATGCTGGGATTACTGGACAGGTGCCACCATGCCCAGCTCGTCATGTACTCTTTTTTTTTTTTTTTTTGGTACTGGGGATCGAACTTGGGTCCTTGAGCTTGCACAGCAGGTGGTGAAACCACTGAGCTAAATCCCCGGCCCCTGTCATGTACTCTTGATCAACCTATTATACAGCTGGGAAAGAGAGCTCTACAGAGAGGAAGTACCATCTCCACACCCTGCTTTCTCCATAGTTTCCCAACTCAAGAGGTAGCATCTCTGTTCAGCAAGGTGCCAAAGTTCACCTCCCACAACCAGTCTCTTTTTGACTCTCCCTTCTAAACACTCATTATCCACCCCTTCTTTTTATTCCCACTTCCTAACCTACCTCAGGCCTCATTATACTGTTCACATACCAGGGCTTTTTTTTTTTTCTTTTCCAGTGGTACTGGAGATTGAACTCAGGGCCTTTGCACTGAGCTATATCCCCAGACCTTTTTAAAAATTTTTTATTTGGGGCTGGGGATTTAGCTCAGTGGTTCCGCCGCCTGCCCTGCAAGCACAAGGACCTGAGTTTGATCCCCAGTACCAAAAAAAAACCAAACAAAAAATTTTTTATTTTGAGACAAGGTTTTGCTAAGTTGCTAGGTTGCCCACACTGGGCTCAGACTTGTGTCCTGCCTCAGCCTCTCAGAGTGCTGGGATTACAGGTGTGTACACTACCACACACCCAGCCACATCAGGGCTTCTGTGTATGCTTCTACCATGCCTGGAATCTGACTAGTTCCTTTTTCAGGCCTCAGACCTTCCTTGCCTGCCTTATCTCAAGTTCCCTCTGTATTATGGTATTGTTGGCTTTTTCTTTTTGTTTAAGACAGGGTCTTCCTATGCAGTTCAGGTTGGCCTTGAACTCACTACATAGCCCAAACTGGCATACCTGGCTCAAAACAGTGATTGAATTAATAAATGATCTCTCACCTCAACTACTTCAGTGGCCTCCTGCTCCTCACTTTTTTAATGCCTTGCCATGAGACACAGAGTTAGGGAGATTTGAACTCTCTTCTTATCATGTCCATTAAAGGTGGCAGAGCAAAAGCTGGGTGTGGTGGCACACATCCATAATCCCAGCTACTTGGGAGGCTGAGACAGGAGGATGGCAAGTTGGAGGCCAGCTGGGCAACTTAGCAAGACCCTCTCTCAAAACAAAACAAATAGCTCCATAAATAAGGGCTGGGGATGTACCTCAGTGGTAGAGCGCATGCCTAGCATGTGTGATGATTTGATCTGCAGTACCAGAGGGGGAAATGAAGAACAAAATCAAGAAGTCCTGGGAAGAGAGGGAGCTCCAAGCCCAGCTATGAAGCCAAAGAAATCAGACTTCTGTTGTGGTGACCGGATATGGTTAAAGGGACTTGGTTGGTTTTTGGTGCCAGCTCTGCTACCTGCTGTGTGACCTAAAGCAACTCACTTCACTTCTCCTCAGGGCTTCCTTTTCTGTAACATGGTGAGATTAAAACCTCAGCAATGGGCTGGGATGTAGCTCAGTGGCACCATGCCTGCCTGGCAAGTACAAGGTCCTGAGTTTGCTTCCTGGTACCAAAAACAAAACAATGAAACCAAACCAAAACCAAACCACCCCCCCAAAAACCCAAACCAAACGACCCCCCCTCAAATCTCAATGAAATGGTTAAGTTGTAAAAATCAAAGAAGGACATGTGTGAAAGTGCTTGAACACTGCAAAGGGCTATGCGTATAAGGGAGGCTTCCCTCTTCCCATCTTTCAGCAGATGCCAGTGTCTCCTTCCTACCTACCTTCAGGCCAGCCCTGCTGTCTTCCCCAAGATTTTCCTATCTATAGATGCAGATAGATGCTTTGCCAGCACTGAGCCTCCCTTCTCCACCACTGCCAGCTCCTCTGGCTGGGCCCAGAGCCTTACCCCGGGCATAGCACCTGCCAATAGCCTGTGGGTGCTGCTGATTGCTTCTGGGCACAAGGACAGTGATGCCTGGAACACACTGGTTCCTGCAAGACCTTTCTTCTGGGCTTCAGTCTTCCCCTGAGGAAAGCAGGCTTAATCATCTCATCTCCCAAAATGCAGACATTCATCAACAATGTGGCACTTGCTGCAGTAGTTGCAGGGTGGATGCTCCCAGAAGAGGATGGGAGAGGCCATCAGGCAGCCTCTGGGCTTCAGGGGGGCTCAGGCTTTGCCCTAGGAGAGGGTGCATGTTTGTCTTCTAGCTCTGGAGCCAAAGGTTCCCTCCTTTTGCCATTTACAAAAGGGATTGTTTACTCAGTGGGCCAGAAGAGCCATTCCAACTCCACAGAGATGATTTGGTCTGAAAATGAGAAACAATCTACTGTACTCAAATGGAAGAGATGATCTGTTTTCAGTCAAATTCCCTTCTGACAGTATTTTTGTTTCTTTTCCTCTGTTAGCCCCTTACATGTTGCCAACCATTGGTTGGTCTTCAAAACTTGGCTGCTGAGCGGTGGGAGTAAGGCAGGTTTACGTCTCTGAAATTAAGAAGCCTGCAAATCTATGATTTTATCTTTCCTCAGGGCCTCTCTCTTCCAAATTGTCCCCCAACCCGCTGCCAGACAGATTTTTCCAAAGTGCAGTTCTGGTTCAAAACTCTTTTGTCCCTTCCTGTGAACAGGATAAAGCCTAAATTCCTTAGCTAGGAATCACGGCCTGCTACAATCCCTTTTTCAGCTTCAGATTGGTTGACTTGATTTCAATGTAAATTAAATCACTGAATGGTATCACTTAGGAGTAGGGTCAGGTGCCTGCAAAATGGTAGGGGCTCAAGTAGACACGGTTGGTGTCAGGTCCCCGGGCACCTTTGACCCCATTGCTGTCCCATTCTGAACTTGGAACAAGATGACTGCACACTCCAGGAATCACGTATCTATTCCAGCTAGGAGGAAGGTGAGAGGGGAAGCAGAGGTACAGGGTACATGGCAGCTGGCTGTTAAAGGTTCCTAAGAAACTGACATGTAACGCTTCTGCTGACGTCACATAGATCAGATCTTGTTAACCGCAAGGGAGCTCTTGCCTGCCGTGAAAGTGGTAGGTTTTAATTCTAATGAAGAAAATGGGCATTTGGGGGAAAACTCGAAGGTTCTAACGTAAATTCTCTGCTTCAGGAACTTTGCTTACCCTGGTCTCTGAGTCTGTAATGTTGTCTTATAATGGGTAAATCATCCTTTGAGACCCAGAACAAAGGGCACACCTGCTGACCCCTAAAAACACAATGCACAGTCCCTGTCACTGTTTCTGTTTTGCATGTTCCTCCACATCTCCAACCATGGTGTTTCAAACCTTCCCTTCCCCATTTGTTTCTTCATCCACTTGGTTCACAGTGGGCCACAGGCCATTATTCCCCAAGCCCCACATTTGTGGATTTCCCCCTGCGAGCTTCATCCTTCACTCTTACAGCCTCTGGGCAGCCTGCCCACCCTCTGAGGCTTTTTCACTTGTCCACACTGACCCACAGTATAGGTCACCCAGCCCATTAACCTAAAGGATGGACTGGGGATGAGCAGTTAGGGCTGGTCCTCAGACCAGGCGTGTGAGGAGGTGGCAGCATTTCCGAGAGCACCTGCCAACATTCGAAGACCCAGCTGAAGCTGAGTCCTTTCTCCAGAGGACACATGGATGATCCCAAAGGCAAGAGGGAGTCTGCTGTGCACGTTTGCAGAAAATTAAACCCTCCCAGCCAGTTTTTCCATTATCTCTGCGCTTAAAATCCCTCTGTGCTCTCCCCACCTCCACCCTAGCCTTCAGGGGGAGTCCTGACTCTGAGGCCCTTTGTAATCTGTGCCCTTCCTACAGTTAGTAACTCAGTTCTCCTTCCCCTGATGCAGTAGCTATACCTGATTGCAATTCCTTGAGTGCCAGGATCTCTCGGGCCTCCTGTTACAGGTGCTGCTTGCTGGCTTTGCTTAGTACATTTCCCTTCTTGGATTTCAAGATTTCTGTGGATGACTGGGTGTGTTAGTGCATATCTGTAATCTCAGCACTCAGAAGGCTGAGGCAGGAGGTTTTCAAGTTTGAGGCCAGCCTGGACTAAATAGATGATAACATGCGCGCGCGCGCGCGCGCACACACACACAACCCCCCCAAATGAAACAAAAAACCTCCCCAAAACCCCAAAACCAATTTAGATATATCCTTCAGGCATCCTTCCTTGATACCCTCAGGCAGAACTGAGCCCCCTCAGCGGCCCCTACCCTAACCAGGAGTCTCGTCCTTATACTGTAATGGTCTGTCTCTTGCACTAGGCCTAAGCACTGCATCTTTCGATGGCAGCCCTATGGCAGCTTTGGGCACACAATAGGCATCTGATAAATGCTCCCTGAATATAGCTCCTAAGTTAAGGGTACAGACAGCCAGGTGACAAAGGAGCTATTCCAAAGCCTGTTCTTTGCTTTGGGCAAGTGAATCACGAGGCAAACACCAAAAAGTCACATGAAGTCATAGCCCTCTCCTTGGCTCAATGAAGCCTACTCATTTTTCAGAGTCCATTTGCTGCTAGCACCTCCTGGAGGGAGCCTCCTGACCCCAGGCCTTAGGTGTGCTCTCACAGCCTGCAATGTGATTGCTCTTTTCTTTTTTGAGTTGAGACAGAACCTCACTTTGTAGTTCAGGTTGGCCTTGAACTCACTATGTAGCCCAGACTGGCTTTGAACTCTAGGTGATGCTCCTGCCTCAGCCTCCAGAGTGCTGGGACTAGAGGCGTGCACCACCACGCCTGGCCCAAAGCTTCCTTTCTACAAGCTTCTCCGCTGTGAGTGAGGGATTGAGGGCAGAGATGCTGATTGGCTTTGCTTTCAGGATGATCAGGAAATGATCCTAGGGGACAAGAGAAGGAGAAGCAAGGAGAGAGCTTAGTGCTTCGAGTCGACAGGTGCACAGTGATGCTCCTTCTCCTCAGGGATGACGTAAATATTCTTTTTTTAAGGAGTTTAGACTTTATTTATAAGGCCGACCTCTCTTCCTCCTGGTGGGGTGAGCAGTGAACAGAGAGCAGTCTGGGAAGGCTTTGCCCCCAAGGGGCCTGCAGCCAGTCCTGGTGGTCCACCTCCCCTCTTGCTTTGCTCCGGCTCTTCTGGGATGATGATCACATGGTGAGAATCTGCTTGGAAGACACGAAGGGCTCCATGGAGGCTCCCAAGGCCCGCTGATAGTCCTGCAGGGGGACCTCAGTGCAGGCGGGGGCTGTGAGCTGGCCTTGGCGGATGAGGTCGCACAGAGTGAGGATCAGCCTCTTGAATTCATCTGTGGGAAGTGGGAGGACATCAGACAGGAGGCAACAGCTAGGGCTTAGTGAGATGGCACACAGGTTGCCCTATGGGCAGGAGTGGGCACCGAGCTCTAGTACAGTCTCCAGAGCCCTGGCTTTGCCAAGGATAGGGTGGCGGTGGAGGCAGCCTGGTCTCCACCTGGGGCCAGGACAGCAGGGGTGGGGATGGGGAAGAACATGGGGAGTGGCCTTAGGAGCTGCTGGGTACATGGAGACCACCTTTCTGGAGTGGTGGCCAGGATGGGCCAGACCCACAGAACCGTTCTGGGGTGCAGTCTGGCAGTGAATGGCAGGAGGGGCAGGATTGCTTTGAGGCAGGGAAGCCACAGGAGACCCAGACGGGAGGTGAGGGGCCTGGCATGCCAGAGGGCATAGAAGAGAGGAGTTTCACTGGGAGACAGGAGCTCTCCGAGAGGCCAGGACCCTCAGAAGCCTGCACCCAAGGCTGCCACCACCTCCCCGGGCCGGCTGCCCCTCCCACTGAGAACCCAACATGGAACAGAAGATGGGAAGTGAGGGCCTTGGCTGAGAAGGGTGTTTTCACAGATAATAAATTCACTCAACTTTCAAATCTAATCCTGCCTCCTGCTTAAAAATACTCAGTGGCTCCCCGACTGGCTTCAGGACTATCTGAACACCTCAGAAAGGTCCACAAGGCCTCCTGCAATACGGCCAGAACCTGCCTGTCCAGCTTCCCAGCTCCAGCTCAGACCTATTGTTCCGGTGGCTCAGAGCCACTTTTGTGCCACTGAGTCATGGTTGCTCCCTCTGATGGTGCTTTTCTGCCCGAAACTCCCTATGCATGCCACCACTAGGACAACTCCATGTCATCTGTCCTTCTCTGCTTGGGGTCACACTCTGGGAAGCCAGGCCTCCAGGAGGAGGAACCATGTGCTGGCTCAGGTTCTGGGCACAGACAGCCATCTGCTCACATTCTGGCTGCACCTCTCCCAAAGAGGTGGGGTGACTTTGGGCAAGCTGCTTGATCGCTCTGAACCTTAATTTCCTTCTCTATCAAGCCGGGCACACAAGTGTTTAACTATTTTGATGCTTACAGAGACAGGGCTTGAGTAACTTGCCCCAGGTCCCACAGTGAGTGCAGGCAGAGCCTAGATCCAGTGGTGGCTGGAGCAGGCTGTGGACAGTGCTCTCTTTACTTGGCAGTCTTCCCACTGGCCAAGGGCCTTGTCTGCCGTATTTGATACTCTGCCCTAAGGACCAGCCCAGTTCAGCCCAGTGATGATTAGGTGACTGCAACTGTGGCTAGAAGCTATTTTCCTTTATTCTGTTGCAGGGCTGGGGACCCAATCACCTCTGCAGGGTTCTGGCAGCTGGTCACTTCTGCAGCCATGCTAGGCACTGCCCTCTCCTGCAGCCCTTGGCATCAGGGCCATCATTCACTCACCTGAACCGTGGTACTTCTTCCACTGGGACAACCAAAAGCCTCGAAGTTTGAGGTCCTTAAAAATGAGCAGGCTCTGTCGACATAGGAGGAACATGCTGGGGCTCTGAGGGCAAGAGCTTCAGGTACCACTTCAGGGTAGATTCCTCCCAGGGAGGGGGCTGAGTTTAGACAACTGTGGTGTCAGGGCAGGAGCATCTGGCCCAGGCCCGCAGGCCCCCCAACCCCCACCTTACCACAGAGGCTGTGACAGGCTGCTTGGCCATTCCGCCGTAGGTCACCATGGTCCCTCCAGGCCTGAAGAATCCAGGGGGAATAAAGAGTGGGTGTAGGCAGGGTACAGAGAGAGTGGAGTTCAGGCTCTACTAGGGCTCACCATGGCATTTCTATTCTGACCATGACTTCTAAACTTTGCTCTCAGAATCCCTGGAAAGGGCTCAAATATACAGATTCATTGGCCTGATCCCTGACCTAAGGAATCAAGAAGCAGCTGGGTGTGGTGGCACATGCTTGTAATCTCAGCACTCTGGAGGATGAGGTAGGAGGATTGCCAAAAGTTCAAGGCCATCTTGAGGTACATAGTGAGTTCAAGGTCAGCCTAAATTTGATAGTGTGACCGACCCTGCCTCAAAAAAAAAAAAGTTAAGGATTTATATTAAAAACAACATGTGCTGCTTGCAGTGGTGCATGTCTGAAATCCTAAGTACTTAGGAGGCTGAGGCAGGAAGACTGCAAGGAGGCTTAGTGAGATCCTGACTCAACAAAAAACAAGAGCTGGGAATGTAGTTAGTTCAGTGCAAGGCCCTGGTTTCAGCCTCCAGTACCACACACAAAACAAAACGCATATACACACACACTCCAGCCAGATGACCAGGATGCTTAGCCAGGGCTGGGAATCCACTAGCCCAGGCCACTAGGTCAGGTTTTGGCTGAGTGCTAGCTATCAGCAAACTTCATAGTAGAGAGCTCAAAGCTGGAGTCCAGCCCTGCTCCACTCATTTTACAGGAGTGTGACCTTGGGCGGTGCAATAAAAGTGGTCCTGATCTTGTCTCTTCATCTGTAAATACTCGTTCTAGAGGTCGGTGAGATGAAATAGCGTACAGATAAGGAGCGGAGCGCACAGTGTTGGGGTCAGTGATGAGCGCCCTCTCCTGGCCGGAGGTTCGGAGATGTGGTGAGTAGCTGCTGTCTGATGCCTACACACCCACCTTGGCGAACAGGAGCGAGGCTAATGCATTTTTTAAAGGAGAGGTTTAATTTGGCTCATACTAATGCAATTTTTAAAAGCTAAAAGTTAGGACTATGAGTGTTTGACTGAACCTTTGCTCTTCTCCCCACTCCCTGGCTCTTTGGGAAGCTTGTTGCTCAAGGATGACCTGAGACACATGTTGGGATGACACAGGGAGATTGTAAACTACAGCATGGGGGACACTGCTGTGGGAGGCAGGTACCTCTGGCCCTGGAGCTGCTGGGCTGTTTGGGGTGTGTGTGTGTGTGTGTGTGTGTGTGTGTGTGTGTGGTATTGGGGATTGATTGTATGCAGAGGGTCACACAGATTAAGCATGCTCTCCCACTGAGATACATCCCAGCTTCTGATTTGGTTTTAAATTCCCCTCAGCTGGTACATGCTCTAGAAAGCAGTTCCTGGGGAATGGAACCCTCTTTCCTGTCTCCCACCAGGCTTGGTCCAGTCACAACTGCTGGCATTTAGTGGGTGTCTACCATATAGCAGGGAGAGTTCTAAGCACATTTATTACTTCCTCAGTGAGTCCTTATATTCTCCAAGGGAGTACTTTGATACCTGCTTTTGCAGATGAGAAAGCTGAAGTCCCTCAGATTAACCTCTGGAGGCAGAAAGGGTTTCTATTACTCCCATTTTATAGATGAAGAGACTGAGGTCTGGACTGTTTTTTCACATATTGCCTAACTTTTCACAGGTCCACAGCTAGTAGTAGCAGGGCAGAGGTGTGAACACACCATTCTGGTACCAGGGATCGAACTTGGGTCCTTGCACTTGCAAGGCAGGCGGCAGAACCACTGAGCTAAATCCCCGGCCGAACACATCATTCTGAATCCAATCCTACAGTAGTCACCACTGCACATGACGAGTGACACAGGTTCATAGTCTTCCTCAGAGGTTGCTGAATACAGGGTGGAAGAGGTGTGCTCCAGAGTCATGCAAAGTTGGGCTTAAAATGGGCTCCCCTGCTGACTACACCTTGGACAAGGTAATTTTCCTCTCTGGGCCTTGTTTTCTTTTAAGTATAAAATGGAGATGGGGCCTGGGGGTGGTGGTGTAGCTCAGTGGTAAGCAAGTGCTCAGCAAGCATGAGGCCCTGGGTTCCCTGAGCATCAAAAGGAAAACAACAAAAAGGAAATCGCAACAGTTGCCCTTGCCAGCCCAGGGGCTTCAAGGAGAAAGTCCAGCTCTGTGGGGTCCTTGTGAGCACTCAGTGATTCTCCTCCCAGCTGTCGGCCACATGGCTCACCTGCCATCTCTCCCTGCGCCCTCAGCTCTCTCTGCGCCCTCAGCTCTCTCTGCACTGGTAGCTAGCTGTGCTCACGCGTTAACTGGGTCTTCTGCTCTAGTTGGCGGGCATCTCTTCAGGTGTCCTCCAGCTGCACAAGTTTATTTCACAGGAAAGAGCAGAGCACCCACAGTGAACATTGTCAACAGTGCTTCTCCCCGCTGGGTGGGGGAAGACCAGGAACTTTTGTGTTTACTTTTTCTTTGTACTTTTACATGCTTTCAAAATGTTGTGCAATAGGCATAATGTTACCTCTAATTAGAATGCAGTTTTAAAAGCCAATAAAACATTTAAAAGATAATAAGTTTGGAGTAAGTGACTTTTTAAGAGGCCTCTAGGTTAGGAGACCTACGCAGAGCTCAGCTGTCTACTTCTGGAAAAAATGAAGCCCGGTCATCTAGAGGAAGAGGCTGAGAAGGAAGCACTCAGAGAGCTGCATGACTTGGTCCTTGTTTCCTGCTTGAGTCCTGGTAACCCAGCCTTGGCTCACACTGGCCCCGGGCACTTGTGCACTAGATGGTGCTTCCAGCTGGAGACCTGGAGAGCTCCTGCTTCCTGCCCTGCAGGGCCCAGGGACTTACGCTAAGTGCCGCAGCAGCTCTGTGGAGCTTTTCCCACCGACACAGTTGAGAGCAAGCCGTGGCTGGGGCATGTCCTGGAAAAGAAGGAACCACAGTGAGGAGGTGACCACAGTACACTGAGGCTTGACGCTCGCTGCGCTGCATACAGCACTTTTCTGCCCCAGAGCTGTGTCACAAGGAGGGAGTGAAGGACAAGGGGTGCTTATGCCTCTGGATTTGCTTTTTTTCTCTGTCCAGGGACTTTAGCAACTTTATCCTGTGGTCCATTTCAGGGCTTGGTTCAAAGCTCTCTCCTCTAGGGAAGAGACAAGGAACATGCATGTGTGTAGGTTTGAGGGGCGGCAGCCACTGAATGCTTTTCTGCTCAGGGCTTAGATGCAGTTTATATGCAGTGTGCTGATCTACCGCTTCAGAAATGCTCCACAGAGGCCAGTGTCTTTGAGTGAGTGTGTGGGTCTGCTCTTTCTCCATGGTTCAGTGATGAGACTCGGGCCAGGGTTTGCTCACTTACAGTGTGCTAAAGGGCAGATGTTCTGGCAGGGCTGGGGCTTTGACTTCAGAAAGACCTGTGGCCAGCCCTGAATACACCACTTACAGCCACGTGGCCCTAGCCAAGTCCTTTACCTTTTATGAGTCTGTATTTCCTTGTCTATAAAACCGGTAACAACTACTTTGTAGGGCTGTCCTGGGGATTATCAGGTAAAATGTGAGGCAGAGGCTTAGGAGACACAGCTTCTTTCCTTTCTGTGCCTCAGAGCCCCTTCTAGCTCTAAGATTCACACCCATTATGTGGCCTGCCACAAATGTTTCAAACTGCAACTCACACAGGGTTTCCTCAACTTTGTTTCTCCCATCTCTCTTATGGCACCTGAATAATTAATGCACTCTGCACCCTGGCTGAGGGGAATGGGCTTTATTTATCCAAGAAGTCGTGAAGGATACAGCCGTGGGTGGCACATGCCTGTAATGCCAGCATAGAGGAGGCTGAGGCAGGAGGATCGCCATGAGTTCCAGGCAAGCCTGGGCTACATAGTGAGTTCAAGGCCAGTCTGAACTACATAGTGAGACCCTGTCTCAAAAAACAAAACAAAATAGCTGGGGATTTAGCTCAGTGGTCCTGCCACCTGCCTCGAAAGTGCAAGGTCCTGTGTTTGATCCCCAGGAGAAGTGGGCCCTGTCCCTGGCTCTTCTAATTCAAGTCAGCTTTCTGGGGGATATGAGCATGGTGTGGAGGGGCAGTGCCCTTTTCCTAGGTACCTTGAAGAGGTTTTTTGTTTCAGGCTTTCTCAGTTCCTCCTCTGTGATGACATGCTCGGCGCCCAGATCCTTCAGTCTACTAGTCAGCTTCTGGATGTCAGGTCTGGAAACCAAACACAATCCAAGGTCCCTGGTCACCTGCTGGCTCTCTCTCCCCAAAACTCCCAGGACCCCTGCGTCACAGTTGTGAGAACCCGTGTTTTGTTTTTAGAAAGCTGGGACTGAGGCTGAGCCAGGCCTTGTGCAGGTGCTACATAATTGAATCATGTTCTGAAGCTCTTGCCTTCACCTCTTCATGGGCCGTTCCTACTGGGCAGAGCCAGGCCGGGAGGTTTCTGTGCCCATGGAGAAACCATTTCACTTCCTGAGTTCTTTAACTGAGAAATGACAGACTCCACTTCCTTCCTCCTCTCTTTTCAAGGGGTTCGTTACGTGAACACACTCTAGCCCAGGAGTGGCCCAGGCCTTTCTGGACAAGGCAACAGAATCTTTTTGTTAGTACAAATTGAGGGGACATGAAACTGAAGTGAGAATCAATTCTCCTCCTAAGACTGGACCCTCATGACAGACATGGCCACACTCATGGACAGAAAGGCTTAATGGAGCTGGTAAAAAAGAATTAGTCTGTTACCAACTTGCTGTGCCTCCTGGGAAAGCTGCTTCCTGTCTCTGAAACTTCAGTTTCTCACTGATAAAGGAGAGAGACCCCCATCTCCTTCACATCTATATTTAGCACACAAGCTGGGGATTTAGCTCAGTGGTGCCGCTGCCTGTCTCACAAATGCAAGGACCCGAGTTCGATCCCCTGTACCAAAAACAAACAAACAAACAAACAAATAGCACACAAATGCCTGGGCAAAGGGGTCTTGGGCTAGACAGTTCTCAGAAAGAACAGCACAGCTCAAAGCATCTCAAATACAAACTATGGTTTTGAAAACAGGGTTATCAGAAGTTGAGTCTCCACAACTCTTAGCTGTTCAGCAAGAGGAGTCTCCATCCTCTTTCTGCCATCTCTACATTCCTCAGATTCACTCCTCCTATACAGTTTAAAGCCACTTGGACTTCATTTCTCTGGGCTGACTCATCTTCAGCTGCCAACTGTTAGCGAAGCAGAAAGGAGGCCATCTGTGCTTATGCAAGGGCGCCATCTGGTGGAGAAGAGGGCATCTGCAGGATGCGAGGTGGAAAGGCCTCAGTCACAATCTGGGATTAGGCCTCCCCACGCACCTGTCTCGGACCACATTGACGGTCCTCAGGCCCAGTGCTGCGGCGATCTGGATGACTGCTTGCCCTACTCCACTGTTGGACGCGTTCTGGATGACGGAATCCCCTGTGGAGCCAGGAAGAGACCCGAGTCAAGCCCTGTAGACCTGTAATAGGTGAGGACGTCCTGCCTTGGATCCTAGGATAGGGCAAGAGATGGAATCGTCAGGCTCAAAAGGGACCCAAGATCTGGTTAGCAGAGCCTTCTCACACCTTGGACTATTACTCACAGTTCCCCTAATATCTCCCAAACTTCTACAACACCGGATTGGGGATGTAGCTCAGTGGTACCACACCTGCCTGGCAAGCCCAGGGTCTTGAGTTTGATCCCAGGTACTGGGTAAAAAAAACAAAAACAACAAACTTTCACAACACCTACAGTTCCCCATAACTTGGCCACTCTGTCCACAAAGAACAAAATCTGGATCCTGCTGTGTAACTGATTTTACATCCTCCCAATTTTTATGTCCTCCAGTCTCTGCTTAGGTAATTCCCTTGGTTTGCAATGTTGTCTCCCTTCTCTCCGTTCTTTCTGACATCCTGTATGTCCTTTGAAGTATAGCTCAAGTGTGGCTTCCTTCATGAAGCCCTCCTGGGTTCTTCCCTCCGAATGCTCCCAGGGCACCTGTGGGCATCTGTGTCAAAGCACATCTCATGACCTGTTCTATATTCAGTTCTACACAGGTCCACACTTGAAGCTTTTGGGGGAGGGGGGCATGCCTTATTCCTCTCTGTAGTGTTTAAGAAAGGTACACTGACCCCAGATGGGATTAAAGCCATACTGGAGAAACTGGCAGCCCCTGAACAGTCTTACAGATGGTTTGTGTGAAGTCCAGGGTTAGCTCTAGAATTTGCCAGTGTGGCAGGCAGTGGCATACTGGGAAAATGGGCTCTGAAACAAGCTGGGTCTGGATGGGAGTTGCAGCTTCACCCATGACTGTAACTAACTGAGACAAGCAAGTCATGTCTTCGAACTTTAGTTTCCTCCCCAGAAAACAGGAATCGTAGGCGCACCTGTCAGGGCACCCAGTTGGAGTCAAACACATTGTGTCCAGGAAGGTGCTTTGTTAACTCTGAAATGCTATCTGGTGTGTGAGAGGAAGCAGGGTTCCTTGCACAGTGGCTGGGAGCTAGAGACAGAACTACCACCAGGACGCCGTTCTCCTTTGCCAGGAGGCAGCATGCAGGCTGACACTACTCACTAGTGCATTAGCAATCCATCCAGTGGGTTCTCAGGAACCTTGCTTTGTTTTAGTTAGAACTGAGGAGAATAAGTCAAGTGTGGTGGCACAGGCCTGTAATCTCAACACTCGGGAAGCTAAGGTAGGAGGGTCATGAGTTTAAGCCCAGTGTGGGCTACACAGTAAGTTGGAAGCCAGGCTGGACTACACAGCGAGACCTTCTCTCAAAAAACAAAAACAAGGCTGGGGATTTAGCTCAGTGGTTCCGCCAACTGCCTCTCAAGTGCAGGGTCCCGAGTTCGATCTCCAGTACCAAAAAAAAGTACAAAACCCAAAAATATGGCTGGGGATTTAGCTCAGTGGTGTTGCTGCTTGCCTCGCAAGCGGAAGGTCCTGAGTTCAATCTCCAGTACAAAAAAACAAAACAAAACCAAAAACAAATAAAAAAACCAACCCCAAACAAAGAATTGAGGAGAATAGAATAAAAAACAACAAAGTAAATCCACATAGTGAGGGTAAATATTGTGCCATGAAATTGTGGTTTAAAAAAAAAATTTTGGTTTCCACTATATATGTGTATGTACTGGATAACAGTGTAAAAATGTAACTCTTACTATGGGTCAAGATCATGTTGATTCAACATTGGTCTAGCCTGAGCCACATCGGTTGTGAGGCAGAAAGTGGGGAGGTACACAGTAGACACTTAGAGTGGGTGGCATCAGAATGCCCAGATCTGTCCACCATAGCTCAGTCCATATCAGAAGTGGCCAGAAGGAATGAGATGCAAGTGACCAGTGTTTGTTGTACTGGGACTCCAGCAAGGTTCTCCACTGAAGTCTTCCCAGACTCCTCCGCCACAGCCGTGAGAGAACTCACACTTCTCTTTGTGGGAAGCTGAGACTGATTTCAGCTAGGCTTTGGGCAGTGGCCTTTTCCTTGCTGGGATGAGAGAGGTAGTGTAGGTGATTTCTTTCTTTCTTTTCTTTTTTCTGGTACCGGGGATCGAACTTGGGTCCTTCCACTTATGAGGCGGGCGGCAGAACCACTGAGCTAAATCCCCGGCCCTAGTGTAGGTGATTTCTATAGCCCCTTCCAGGTTACGGATATGTACAGTGTGCAGGAGTGAGAAACAGTGGAGGACATAGGGGCTGGCATGTAGCTCAGTGGTAGAGTAGGTCCTGGGATCACTCCTCAGCATTATTAGAAAAAAACCCTAACAAAAGACAAAAACCAAAGCCAATGGGGAATGGGAGTCCGAAGAAAGCTGGCCCAGGCTCCTGTCATTAGAGGATCCCCAGCAGGACCAAGCCCAGGTTGCCCAGGGCAGTAACTGGCCTTCCTGGGCTTTGCCTCTGTTGGGATCTTGCTGTCTTCACTCCCCCGTTTCTGCTTCCTGGGACCATGTCCCAAATGACCTGTCTGCCTCTACTTCTGGTCTCATGCTCTGCTTTCAGGAGAATGCCAATAAAACACCTGGCTTTGTCTATTTACTTGCTGAGTGATTTCATGAAAATAGCTCCCCTCTCTGGACCTCTTCCTCCACTGATAAAAGAAAGACTAATAATATAAGCTGATAGCCACAGCACTGTAGTCTAGGCACTGGGCTAAGTGTTATGCTTCAGGGTTTCATTGGCCCCCAGAGCCCCTCATTCTCCATCTTACTGATGAAAACCTGGATGCTGTGGGTGGTGAATTCACACAGTTAATGAGAGGTGAACTTGGGTTCAGACCTAGGATTTTTACCTTGGGCTTGAGCTTTTAACCAATGATACTAAGTTCACTGTACTACTTTGTTGAAGGCATGATGCACTCCACAGGGATAAGCCTGCAGAGGCACTTGATGAACAGGAAGTGCGATATAAATGCTGAGCATAATTATTAACACTAAGTTCAGCATTTTATTGAAAACACAGGGACTGTGTCTATCTTGTCTGGCTTTGTATCCCCAGAGCTTAGCACAGCTCAATCTATTTTTTGCTGAGTGACAGCATTCCATCCCTGGCTCTGGGGAATGTGAGCTTTTAGCAGTTTCCCAGAGTACAGTCCCTATGAGCTTTCAGCATGTTTTCTAGGAACCCAGCTCACATATGAGTAAAAGCCATAACACTCATCCAGATCAGGGGCTGTCATCCTCCCAGACCCCTCAGTAGCAAGTTCCCATAGCTACAGGGTCAGGATTTGTGTCCTACCCCAGTGGGGAGCCCTGGCCTGCTCTTGACAGCTGCAGGTTCCTACCTGGCTGCAGCTGCTCGAAGTCCACCAACATCCTGTAGGCTGTGCAGGGGTTGACGCTCAGGGTGGCAGCACTCTGAAGAGGGATGTCACTGGGAATTTCGATCAGGGCTTCCTTGCTGAACACAGCCTCGGTCTGCCAGGTTCCTGTCAGGGGATGAGGCCAGGGAATTGAGGAAGGACTCCTCTGCACCCGACCCCAGCCAGCCCTCCTGGGTACACAGGCTCTAGGACAGCAGAATTCAGTTAATGGTTAGAGGAAAAAAGAGGGCCAGAGATTTAGCTCAGTGGTTCCGCTGCCTGCCTTGCAAGCACAAGGTCCCAAGTTCAATCCCCAGTACAAAAAAAAAAAGTTTGGTAGAGGAAAAAAGAAATCTTGAGGTTCCCTTTGATGTTTCTGCATCCTCATGATAATTATGTTATTCCCACTTTAATAATGTGGTAAGGGGGGCCAGGGATTTAGCTCAGTGGTTCTGGTACCTGCCTCGAAAGCTCAAGGTCCCGAGTTTGATCCCCGGTACCAAAATAACAACAACAACAACAAAAATGTGGTAAGGGGGCTAGAGAGGTTGCCTCTCTGAGCTACCATTAGATTCAGCTAATGTCATAGTGCAGGTGGTTAGGACCTCGGTACTGGACTACATGAGCAGGAAAGTAATGTCATCACCCGGGCCAGAGGAGCTGAGAAAACCCCGTTCTCTTTGCAGACCTTGTTCTTTTCTTCAAGGCAGGCTGACTGGTAGAGTGAAGGGCCTACATTTGGCACCTGTTTGTTCTAGTCTGCTACTCTAATCAAATTCCTAAACTACTGAGGTGTTATATTTTTTCCTCCTCCTGTCTTTTTTCTGTGGTACTGGGGGTCAAACCCAAGGCCTTGGGCATGGTAGGCAAGTGCTCTACCACTGAGCTATAGCTTTAGCCCTAAGCTACTGAGCTTGTGCCTCTTATATATAAATGACACTGGCAATAACAGCCTGACTGGCTTGGAGCATTGGACAATCAAAGAAGGTCCAGGAAATAAAGAAATACTTAACCCCTGGCCCACACTACAGTTCCAGGCAAAAGAATCAGAGAATGTCAGTAGCAAGAAAGTCTTTACCAGGTACCAATATCCACTTGCATGCAAACCCCTCATGCAACAAGGAAAGAAACTGAGGGAGCACCCTGCCCAAAGCCACTAAGCTTATCTGGGCAGAGCTGGAGCCAGATCCTGGGTATATATCCCCAAACCAGGCACTTAGATGTACATACCTTTGTTCATTCATTCCTTTTTACTTTTATTTCATCATCATTTTGTTATTGTTATTATTATGTGTAGCACTGGGGACTGAACCCAGGCCCTTTGCAATGAGCCACATTCCCAGCCACTCTTTATTTTGAGACAGGATCTTACTAAGTCACCAAGTTGGCCAGGTGGGGCTTGAACTTGCATCTTCCCAGAGTGCTGGGATTACAGGCATGCTCCACCAGGCTCAGCTATGTTCCTTACTTTCATTCTAATGGAGTAGGTGAAAAAAAAGCAAATACAAGAAGTATAACTCATAAAGACACTGACAGGAGCAGCGGAGAGAATTACAGTAGCAGTGGGAGCCATGGATGGCTTCTCTGAGGAAGTGATGAATACAGACACTAGCCACTCAAGAGTACACAAACAGCATTCTAGAAAGAGGTAAAAGCAGATACATCTCAAGAGTACACAAAGATCATTCTAGAAGGAGGAAAAAGCAGATGCAAAGACTCTGAGACCAGTCAGTTATAAGACTGGGACTGGTATAATCTGCATTGGAGGGCAGAGAGTGATGAAGAAGCTTGAGAGGTGGCTGGTGGGGCTGACTGGGCATGGGCTGGATGAATATCCATCTTTCATGATCTGCACCCATGGTAACAGAGTTCCGCCTGAATCAGTATATACAACAGGAGCCTATTTCATTGAGCGGTATGTACCCTTACTGTGAGCTATGGTTTGGATCTCCAATGTCTTCCACAGGCCTATGTGTCAAAGGCTTGGTCACTGGTGGCATGCCTTGACGGACATTCTGGGACCCAGATGCTGGCTCTTCCTCTTTCTGTCTTTGTTCCTGGCACTGTGAGGTGAACAGGCCTCCTCTGCCCCATCCTACCACAATATACTGTGCCACTATGGGCCCAAAAATCATGGACTGGAACCTCTGAAATTGTGAGCCAAAATTAACTATTCATTCATTCATTTATTTAGACAAGGTCTCTTGCTATGTAGTCCAGGCTGGCCTCAAACACTTGGTGATCCTCCTGCCTCAGCCTCCCCAGTGCTGGGATTACAGCGTGTGGCACCATGCCCAGCTCTGCTCAATTTTAGTGAAAAAAAAAAAAAAAAAAGAGTCATTTGTAAATCCACTAGATTGACAGTGCTAATGTGTCACAACCTGGAGTTTGTTTTTGTTTTTGTTTTTTGGGTACCAGGGATCAAACTCGTGTCCTTGCGCTTGCGCAGCAGGTGGCGAAACCACTGAGCTAAATCCCCGGACCCCAACCTGCAGTTTGAAGACACAGGGCTTGGGGCCATGGTGTGGACAGTGGATTTTATTTTAGGTTTTTTTTTTGGTACCAGGGATCGAACTCGCGTCCTTGAGCTTGCAAAGCAGATGGTGGAACCACTGAGCTAAATCCCTGGCCCTGGATTTTATTTTAGTAAGTGACAAGTTTCTAACAAGCTTTGAGAGATTGAGGTGATCTGATATCTGCTCTACGGTCATGTGGTTGCTGGCGGAAAAGACCAAGGGTGGGGAGAGGCAGTGTGAACGTGGATGGGGGACAGATGGGAGGCTTTGGCTGGCGTCAAGATTAAGACCAACGCTCTGGCCGTGGGGACTCGAGTCCTCATCTGTGGACAGAACCTGTAGCATCACACTAGGACTGGGTGGGAACAGGCTCCCTCAGGCAGGCAGGCTGCTGGATGAAGACGTGAAGAAGACAGGCTGTGGGGTCAAATTCAACCCTTGTTTCCACTCCATCCTTGCTACGTCACCTTAGGGAAACTGTTTGGGGCCTTGCTGGCTCCATACCTGATGGCTGTGGTGTCTCAGGGTAACGTCCAAAGCTCTCAGGTTGCCCACTCCCTCCAGTTGCTGGGATTCTACACTATTCTGGGTTTGTGTGCCTGGCTACAGGAAGAAGGAGCAGCTCAGGCAGCAACTGTGGTGCAGGAGGGGAAACGATATAGGCTTTAGGGTCCAGGAACTCAAGAGGGAAGGGAGGAACGCTCCATTAAAGGGCATGCCAATCCTAGAGTTAAGTCTATGGCCAAATAAATAAGACAGAGAAGCTAAAGGGTTCCTATGGGATCAGGAAGTGCCTTGGCATTTTCTAGGCTTCCTTTAGTCTAGTTTTCAAATCTGTATAATCCTTACCCTCATTCACTTTAGCTACTGTTTACTGATCTCAGGGACAAATGGGGCTTTCCATGCATGAAATTAAGGGTGTTTTCTAATTCCCCTTATATGGCACCACAAAGGGAACCCATCCCTTGACATGAATTCCTGGGGATTAGAAGACCCTAAACCTCCTCTCCAGAGAGCTTGGGCAGGAGGGACAGCACTCATGGTCAGTGACAAGGGTGTTCAGAGCTGAAGCAGAAACTGTGCAGTTGGAGAGACCTGCTAAAAACTCCAGGTTTGCCAGGTGTGATGGTGCCTGTAATCCCAGCACTCAGGAGGCTAAGGCAGGAGGATCACTGTGAGTTTAAGACCAGCCTGGGTCACATAGTAAGTTGAAGGACAGCCTGAACTATACAGCCTGAACAACATAGCGAGACCTTCTCTCAAAAAACAAAAACAGGGCTGGGGATTTAGCTCAGTGGTTCTGCCGTCTGCCTTGAAAGTGGAAGGTCCCAAGTTCAATCCCCAGTACCAAAAAAAAAAAAGCAAAAAAACCCTCCAGCGTTGCCATTTAATAGTTGTGTGACTTCAAATTATCATTCCACCTTTTTTTGGGTTTCAGTCTTCTGATCTATGAAATGCAGAAAATAACACTCATATTCCCAATATTAATACTAAACGAGTTGACATTCGTAAGAGACAAGCGACTGTCCCTGGGTCAGTGCGTCACAGGGGTATAACACACTTTGGTTACTGACCATAGCTCTGAGGAACCCCAGTCCTCACTCAACTCTCCCTGATGACCTTCAGCATCTAATGTGGGGGGCAGCAAATAATGGCCCATGGGCCAATTCTGCTTCACTGTTTTTATAAATAAAATTGGACTGGAAAACTGTCATGCTCACTTGTTTATGTATCGTCTCTGGCTGTTATAATGGCACAGTAGGGTAGTCACAAAAAAGATGGCGAGGGCCGGGGATTTAGCTCAGTGGTTCTGCTTCTGCCTTACAAGTGTACGGATCTGAGTTCGATCCCTGGTACCAAAGGAAAAAAAAAAAAAGATGGCATGGGGCCAGAGATTTAGCTCAGTGGTGCAGCCACCTGCCTTGAAAGCGCAAGGTCCTGAGTTTAATTCCCGGTACCAAAACAAAAAACAAAAAAAGATGGTGTGACCTACAAAGCCTACATAATGTTTTGAAGGGCTTAAATATATATATATATATATTTTTGGTACCGGGGATCGAACTTGGGTCCTTGCGCTTGCGCAGCAGGCAGCGAAACCACTGAGCTAAATCCCTGGCCCTTAAATATATTTTTATAATGATATTATATTGATATTCTATGTCTTTCTACTCTAAAATATTATTATTAATTACATGCAGGAGGTGGTGAGGTATTTATAAAATATTTGATAAAAAATTAATATACAGTACTCTACATGAGATGGGATCTTATGAACTTCATCTTCTGAAGTATTAAATTGATCATCTAAATCAAACTGTCCTAAATGAACTTATAGTTGTTTCTGAAAACCACGTTAAAAATGAAGGATCTTGGGCTGGGGATTTAGCTCAGTGGTTCCGGCGCCTGCCTCGCAAATGCAAGATCCCAAGTTCGATCCCCAGTACCAAAAAAAAAAAAAGAAGGATCTTACATTTCCCCAGAATTTGTACAGAAAAGGGAAAGCACATAATTGGCATTTTCAGTTTCTCACATCCAAAGTAATGCATTCACACAAAATCAGGATCTTCATGTTTAGCATAAAAGGAAAAAAAAAATACTGCAATAGAGGGG